TACTCACCCCTAGTATACAAAATGACAATAAACGTTGTCTAAGTCTAAGTGGTCCATGACCAGGACAGACTAGGAACCAGGAAGCAGGACATCCTGAACACAGGGAGATGTTCTGTGGTTACCTGAGCCCAGCAGAAGCTCAGGACGGCAGCAAACACCAGCAGGAAAGTTGTTCGCTTCATCCTGAAAAACAAACAGATACAAACTATAACTCCTCTTACACTGGAGGAGGAAGATTTGTCCTTTTATTTTCTGATCTTAACACTCAAAGGAAGAACTTTACCATTTTTTTTTTATAATGTGTTTGTTTATAACAGAACAGTTTACTGGGTTAGAAAAAAAGTGGTTTTCAGTCAAAACCAGCATTTCAGTTGGTTTTGACTGAAAACCAACTTCTGTTTGTCTAACGGATGAAATGATGGCGTCCAGAACCACAAGAATTCCTCTGAATCATTGACGCTTCAGTCATAGCGTCCTCTGAGGGAGCTAAAATTACAGTGCTGCTGCTCAATAGTCTGTTCGCACACAATGACTGCCTTCTTCTCCACACATCTGGACCTTCTTCAGCAGCTCCAACCTCAGACCACACACGCAGGGATGATGGGAAACCCAGATGGCGCCGTCCAGCAGTGTTTTTCCCTTAAAACTCTGGGAGCTCAGCGAGCAAAGCAGAAACATCAGGAGGTAGAAACAAACGGATGCCTACCTCTAATACTTCTAATCATCTCCTTCTCTCCTCAGCTTTGACACCGAGCTGTTTTCATCTGAATGCATCACCTCTCTCAAGGTTCTGGACGGATTCAGTCTCTTCTTCTCAGTGTTTCCTCTTCTCTCAACTTTGGTTAAACCCAACAGCTCTAATTAGAGGAGTTTGTGGTCCAATCAGTGGTTGAACCATTTAGTGGTTGCAGAACGAGCCCAGATCATCAACGCTTTACCACCATGCTCAACTGTCTGTTATGGAAACATCTGGGTTTCTATTCTCATGGGTACTTCCTTTTTCCTCTTTTGTTGGTTCTGAATTCCCAGCATGCAGTCATTTTATCTCACATCTTTCTTTATGTTGAGAGTTACATGAAGTTGAAAGAAATATCAAAACAGGAAAATGATCCTAATTGTTTTTTTGGGGGGGCTGTTTTGGAGACTAAACCTGCAGCACAGAACCAACCGAACTGTTGATCCACTCAGACATTATATAATGGGGTGGAAAAGCACCGCAGCTGCAGCGCACAGACGGTAAAAGGTTCTGGACAGAAACATGGGATTAAAGAAGAATGGAACCGGTTCTGGACCTTTCAAAGTCTTTAGTTCGCATTTAAGGATGGAAATAAATTAAAGCAGCCCAGATGTTAACGAAGCTTCCTTCTGGTCTGGGTTTCTGTCGCCGAACCTAGCAGCGGTACCAGGAACCCAGTTTGCGCTTTTCCAACCAGGAGCACAATCTTACACACTTTCCGGAAAAACGAAGAAAATAGAGGAAGCAGATTCCTCACCTCCAGGTCTGGACGGTCCACGTCGCTCCTGTTCAGTCTGGCTGCTGGAAAAAGTGATGGACCCGCGGGTCTGCGCACACACCAGCGCGCAATCATGGCGCGGGGGCGCGCAGCAGGACAATAAAAAGCTTTTTTTTTCTTTCTTTCACCGCATTTTAGCCGTTTTTGTGAAATCGGCACAAGATGTCTTACTTTATATTTTATACATAAATCATTTACGCCATATTAAGTTAATTACTTATCAGTTTGCTTTGTTTTCATTCTACCAGTTGATGACAGGAGAACAAATCATGGATTCTGATGAGAAAAAAAAATTCTTCATGCTTTTGGTTCTTTTGGCCGGAAAAGTGAGACAAAAAAAAACACCTATGGACCTATGGAAATAGTCAATGATGTTTATCGGCTGAATTTTAAAAATTTTTTAAAAGCATGTTCTCCCTGAGCATGTGTGGGTTCTCTTTGGGTACTCCGGCTTCCTCCCACAGTCCAAAAACATGACTGTTAGGTTAATTGGCTTCTCTAAATTCTCCGTAGGTGTGAGTTTGTGTGAATGGTTGTTTGTCCAGTTTGTCACTGTGTTGCCCTGTGATGGACTGGCAACCTGTTCAGGGTGTACCCTGTAGACACCAGTACCCCTCGCGACCCCACTTGGGATTAAGCGTGCCAGGAAATGGATGGATGGATGGAAATGTTCATAATTTGTTTGAGATCAATCAAGGATTTCCAAAGATATAAACTTAATTTACCAACAATAAATAACTCTGTCCCTATGCTATGTAAAGGTGAAACATTCTGAATCTCATCTGGTTACAGCAGTTCTACGGGCGCAGAAAAAAATGTGGACCCAATCCAAGCAAGGGGGTGTTTTTGGAGAGCAAACCCAGAGGAGAGAGTGGGATGGAAGCACAGGATGAAAAACTATTTAATGAGGAAGAGAAGACAGTCTGATAAAGAACTGTTTCTGAATGTGTCACAGTCAGGTTGAAGACCCAGATACAGAACATCATGAAGACAAAATCAAGAAGGAATTAAGAAACACTTACAGAACTGAAAGGCAGAGTAACAGGGAACAAGGGAGCAAAGGTCACGGTGCAGGAGGTAAATGAACAGAGACAGGAGCAGGGGGCTGGAAGAATCCAACAAATGAGGGGAAAACAGGCAGCTTATAAAAAAAGAGAGTGATGAGAAAAGGCACAGCGAGCAGGAGAATGTGAACAGAGGAGAAACAGCTGAGGAAGACAGAAGAATTAAAAAAAGAATATTCAATAAATCAATTATTGAAATAATCTCTAACATGAAACAAAGACTCTAAATCATTCAATTCTCTTAATGAAAAATCCAGAGCAGAAATTAAAGGTGCAGTAGGAAATCTTTTCTGACGCATTTTTTTACCATTTGGCTTGAAGATCTCCGCACAGCTACGTAGCAAGAAGTGAAATAGAAGGTCTGGAAGTGAAACGGGGAAAAAATGGTCCCCGCTACAGTTTGAAATCGATGAGTAACGCCCACCAATCTCACGGTCCGTGGTCCACTATTGGTTCCTGACATGTCAATTAAGGTCGTCTGCTTCTCCCTCCCCCCATGGCACATCAACGAATCGACCCCCCAATGCTTGTGCAGGCGTGAGAATTATAACCAGCATTATAACCAGTGTTGTTTTCGTCAACAACGACGATGACAAAATTATTTTGGTTGATGCTCCTTTTTTTCATGATGATAACGAAAACTGACGAGCTAAACATGGATCTTTGATGACTAACACATGGCAAGCCATAGGTTTGAGTTTCCGTCAACAAGACGAGACTAAATAAAAATTAGCGGGTTGTCGGTTATCACTGTGCTGTAATCTGCTAAGCACTATCAGCCGTGCTGTTGCGTTCTGTTTGATCCTGCCGTCCACCTACATTGCACATGCTGCAGGAGCACAGATGGATCATGGCAGCAGCAGCAGGGTCTGAGAAAATAACCCAGAATGATCCAGTACTGCGTGCTAACAAACTCTGCTCTGATCTTCCACCTGTGCTTGCGCAAAAATGCGTCTTTGCTCAAAGAGCTCAGAGTCTGCGTTTCTCGCTCCCCATTGATAGTTGGCTCTTAGCAATATGGCTCCTTCTGCTCTCGCTACTTAATAAACTATGTGGCTGATCATCCTTTGCCAAGCATAAAAAAAAACCTTTGTCTAACTATCAAGATTTTATTTTATCCAGCTCACAAGAGGGCATACTAAACATTCTTTAATTTCTACAAAAAGGAATCCCTAAATTATACCCACATAAAATATTTAATTGAATTATGTTTATTTTGGCATAAAGAGTGCAGCAGCCAACTGGGAGGCTGTGGAGGACAGCCTGTCATGTTTAATGATGAGTGTGGAGAAAGAAGGCTGACTAAAAACAGGCTGATGTGTATAATGAAGATGATGAAGAGTCTGTTGTGGAAAGTGTGATCTCTTCCTCCATCATCTGGTGGGATAACAGTATCACAGCAAAGGACTGAAAGAAGCTCAATCAGCTGATAGAGAAGGTTGGCTCTGTTGTTGGAACTCATCTAAAGCCTCTAGAGAAGATTTCCCAAAGAATAATTCTCCATGAAGTAAGGAATTATGAACAACAGTGAGCATCCTCTTCATCATATGTTAAATGGCCTTTACTTGTGTAGATCTTTTTTCCAAGTCAGGAGACTTGATCAAAGCGCTTTACACTACAGTCAGTCATTCACCCATTCACAGACACACTGTCTGAGGCAGGCTATATTGTAGCCACAGCTGCCCTGGGGCTCACTGTTAGAAGCGAGGCTGGCGCCACCAGTCCCTCCGACCACCATATACAGGTAAATTCTCTTGCCCAAGGACACAACGACGCTGAAAGCCAGAGCGTGAACCGAAAACCCTCCGGGTGCAGGGTAAACTCCTGCATCTTGTGTCTTCAGTCAGAGGTTTCTGCAGATTCTTTGTAAGTTAGGCCCTCGCTAAAAAAAACAATAACATTTCAACCTTTTATTTCCCTTTGGGATAAGTGAAGTATTTTGAATTTGATTTGCATTGCATGAAATTTGCATTTGATAAAACAATACAACTGTGGACACATGAAATTACCCACACCTTTTTAAAACAATATAGTGTTTTATTTCACGGTTATATTGTCAGTAAGTCTGAACATAGAAGTCACAATCTCTGTGTTTAAAAAAAATGTTGTTTCTCTCAGATGCTATTTCAACTCCCTGGAGAATGTTCTACAGATTTAATTAAACATCAATTTACTGGCCTATAAAATAGCAGAAGTGTTTAACTAAAATACAATGTGTGTACATGACCCAAAGAGTCCATTTTCTGTCTCAGCTACAGAGGAAAAAATATTCACAGATGTACCAAAAAAAAGAGTTTACAAGGTAGAGATTGTTGTCCAGTCTTTACAGTGGCTAACCAGCTGTAAGTTGTATTGACCTGAAAAGATGTGATGGTGTCAGTGCTATAATCTAACTCAGCAAAGAGATTTATCTGAAGAGATGCTGCATCATTTCTTTTATTGGAAGTTCTCAGGCAGGAACAACATTTTCTGGCTTGGAGCACGGGTCATCTGCTTGTGTCTGAGGCTTGCTATTGCTGCCATCTTGTTCAGTAACCTGATGTAAGTGCTCCTTCCCACCACCAGGGGGACTGCAGGACTGGACAGTGCTGCCCTCTGCTGGCAACCTGTTGTGCTCAACAGCCAGGTTTGTTTTCCTGGCTGTGTCAGTTACAGGTTGGTCATTCATGGTACTGTTACTGTTGGGGTCGTCGTTAGGCATGGGGTCGTTGTTGGGGGCGGGGTTTGTCACAATGCCCATGAAAAGGGGGGCCAGGGAGAAGTCATCAACCAGGGCAAACAGAAAAGGAGAGTTTACAGAGAAGAGGGAAATGGAGCGCATAACGGTCACAACAGTGGTGGCGGATGCTTCAACACCTTCTTCACTCAGCTCCACAGTGGCGGCATGAAGGACACCCGATACCCTGAGTGGCTGATCTGAAATCCCAGAGAGGTCCGGACCCGAAAACAGGGAGCCAAGGCCTGACAGACAAACAAAAGAGAAGCAAAACTCAGTGGATATCCAAATAATTTAACAACCCCAATCTTATCATCTATTTCTGCATGTTGGTAAAGGAATCACTGATTTGCCAAGTTTATATGTGTAGAACATTTCAGGAATACGGGATTTATTGACATGGAGCAAAAAAGAAAAAGTAAACTGCAGTAGGATATTTATGGGGGTGTGGAAAAGTTGGACCAAGTCAGAAGACAGAGTAGATCATTTCCTTAAAGAAGAAACCCATATACTTAACAGCAGATCATCCATTATTAGAGACAGGATCCCGTTTGTCATATATCCTATACTAATAAAGCAAAACATTATGACCACATGGCTACTAATGTATTGTCTCCCATTATCTGCCAGAACCAGTGCAGAGTCTACGCTTGTATAGAGTATCTGGCACCATAATGTTGCGGACATATCTAATACGTTCCGCCAGATCCAAGATGTGGCCTTCATGGGTCAAAAATTTTTCCCCATGCACTTCTGAGGCAAGGCCAACACTTCAATCACTAATTCTCAACAGCGGCGCCCTGCAGGGTTGAATTTTCAGTCCTCTCCTCTTCACTAGTTTCAGACATTAATGCTATGCTATCCACAATATAAACACGGTTGTGAAGTTTGTGGACGACACAGATGTGGCAAGTCTCCTATCTAACAATGATGAGGCCCACTATAGAAGTAGTGCACAATGGTTCTCCAGGACCAATCTCATACTGAACGCGAGTAAGACCACACTGCAACCACACTGCACGATCTAGAAATAAGTAAAAATGTCTTACATTAAGTGCATTAACCCTTAACTTGAGTAGGTAAATATGATGATTTGCCAATTGAATTAGATTGTTTACCATAGAAATAAGATAATTACATAATATGCGCTTTAAATAAGAAAATGCAATTGTTTTTTCTTATTTTAAATATAAATTGTCTTGTTCCACTGGCAATATGTCTCACTTATCTCTTCAATTCAAGATAAAAAAACACTTATTTTAAGAAAAAAATAAATATTTAAATTTCAATGTTTTGCACTGCAAGGAGGTCCCAGTAGACTAGAAGAGGTCCAGGAGTGCTAAAAATGATCCGCCCCATAGGGAATGTGGTGGAGTGGGCCGGCGGCAAGTTTCTAGGCATTAGCATCTGATGAAGGTCCAACGACTGCTCTTCTTTCTCAGGAGGCTGAAATGGACTGGACTCTCTACTTAGCTGTTCACAAACGTGTATAGAACCACAGCAGAGAGCCTCCTGTATCTCCTGTGCCAGAAATGACTTGGCACAGGTAAGGAAGGACTCTGTGAGGACAACACAGGGGCTTGTGGGAGTCTGTCTGCCAGATCTGAAATAGTTATGCCCTTCAAATCCAGTAAAGGGCTAGATGCATATCCTCGGATTCCAGACACCTGGTGTCTGAGCTGTTTGAAGTCCCAACCATCCCTCCTTCGTTGCTCCAAGTTCAGGTTTTGATTCCCACCTTCCCACTGAAGCTTCTCCGATTGTCCGGTAGGGGTCAGCATTAGTGCCTTGATACATATTAAACCGGGTATCTCCAGCCCTGGTCCACAAGATCTACTGTCATGCAGATATAAGACACATCTCTGCTCCAACACACCTAATTCGAATGCCTAAATTAAAGGTGTTCTCCTTCTCCCACGTTTGTTTTTTGAGATCTGGTCACACTACCTTTTAGCAGGCCTAATATTATGCCCAATAGAGGCTGAGATGTGGGTCCCCATGTTGAAATGGTTCAACTCTTTCACTTTATTAAGCAACTTGGATACAAACCAGGTTTGAATCCCAGTTGTGTCAGAAAAGACATCTTGGCCAAGTCTATGAGCAAGTCCTAAAGACTCTCACACTATACGACTATTCTGGTCTTAACGGGCCCAGATATTCTTGTAGCTAAAATCTACAGGACCCAGCTAATGGCTCATTCATTTGAGTCCATGTTCAAACAAATCTTAGGATCAGATGCCGTATTATTAAGGTAATAATGTCTGGGTACTTAGTGTTAAAGTCGTAGGGAAGTCATATTTAAAAGTCATATCATTCTGGCTTAAACATGTATATAAATGTAGCCTTTTACAGATGATGTTGTCCCAAAAGTTAGAAAATTTCTATAAAAAAAAAAAAAAATACTGTCTTAAAATCTGTGGGGGCTATTTCATTATTTTATGCAGGCCAGTTAGTCATATGTCAGCTTGTACACCTAAATTCGGCCAGTCATATATCAAAGGTCATCTGTCAATCACTTTTTTTTGGTCATTTCATCTTTATTGATATGTTGCAGCTAATATACGCAATGGTTGAAATAAGAAATAAGAATAATTTCCTTTCCCACTGAGTTCCATCCCAGTGTTCACGGGGATGGACGTCTGTGTCTTCAGCAGGCGTAGAGCTAACAGAACTGCCAGCGTTGCGAGGCAAGGGCTCAAACATGTACAGCTGTAAGCCTTCTACACCAAACCAAGCTTCTGCCGCCCTGCGTCCTCTTCCACAGCATCTTTGTCCTGCTTTTCTCCTCTAAATAAAAAATATATGATGGAGGAGACTCATCCACGACCTCCGACAGTAAACTCTCCTCCTCCTGCATGTTTACACTGTCTAAAGCGTTCCTTCACAGTGTTGTTTCTAAGTCAACAGTTTAGTGCTACTTGGTCCCAATCTAATTTCCCATTGGGAACCTACTAGCACTAAGTTGCTAACTGTTTAGCAAAATTATACCAAGACACCGTCCACAACCAAACTTGCTTGCAAACATTCCATCACAACAATCCTGCCCCCTTGAAAAACGACCAATCACATTCACTTTATTCACTCATGTAAAGTCGTGCACCACTCGGATAGGCAACGGTTGGAACAGCTGCTTCCCTACGACTTAAATATTTACTTGGAACATGGCGTTCAAAGCAATCTTCAACATTTTACTTTATGGTCAGACTTAGTTATTAATGTTTTACCATCAGGTCTGTTCGTTTCTTGCTGTTATGCAGATGCTATATCATGATATAGTTGCATATTATACCATATCAAGAGGTTTACTGCAGCATATTGCAGCAGAGGTTTACTGCAGCATACTGCAGCAGACATAAACATCAGCTTATCAGTCTAACTAATAAAAATCTCTCTCCAACCTTACCCATCCTGGTCAGTGCCTCCTCGAGCTCCTGCCGATATTGGAGCTTCACCTTGGGTAAGTTGACCCCCATTGATTTTTCTTGAGGTAGACGACTGTAGAGGTCAGAGATATTTATTTTGGGAAGCACGGATGAGATGTTTCCTCTGGGAAGGACCACAAGGAAGCTGGTGTTTCCTTTGAAGGGAAAGCTGCCCACCTAGGTGAGACAGAAAGGATTTTAATCAAGAGCAAATGAGCAAAAGACAAACTTTTTGATGAATACAGGGGACTACTTATGTACCTGCGCCTGCAGCTCAGGGTCGTCCATCAGGCGTAGCGGATAATTGGCAGACTTCATCATGTCGACAGAAACTGAATTCTGGCTGTCGAGGTAAAATTTATTCTTTGAGGTCACCTGAGGGTCAAACTGGGTCTTCCACTCACCTGGAAAATACATAATGAAGAAGTTGAAAAGAATCAGAGTATCATAAGGTGGGGCTTGACCTGTAACCAGTGGGTTTCCGGCTTAAAGCCCACTCCCTCTGTCTTAAGGGCTGTTTTTTCTCCCGCAGCCTCAGATATTTTTGTTTTGCCACAAGGCAAGAGGGACAACCACGAACTAGCTGTGGATCTAGATACGGCCGAGGTGGTGAGGAAGTGGGGGCAAGTTTGTGTGTCAATGGAGGGACATGAGGGGGAAAAAGAGCAGGGATCCAGGTGGAAAAAGGGTCCCAGCGTTCTCGCACACCTCATTCTTCTAGCTGGTCTATCTTAGCAAGTCGTTTTCCACAATGGTGGTCATACAAACAAAACAAGCCGGTATGGTACCAAACAGGAAATACACACAGTGTAGAGCGGATGTAGATTTTACCAATCAGAGGCCTCCTGTCTGCGGCACTATCTGCAATTTTGGGAAGGCGCAACAGAGTGTCTGCAAAAGGGGGAGGGGTTCACTGCGACACACATGGAGACGACCTGGTTTCTGAGTATAAATCAGCCTTTAGTCCTATCCTTAGGAAAGACACAAATCTACCTTACCTGTGGTTCCAGTTGAATGACAACCTCATCTCTGTCAGTCTCACCAGGAGCAACTCACTTTAGACTTTAATACGACACAAATTCAAACAGTGACTTCAATGTAACTTAGCACCATCAGTGTTTAAAGTTATGGGTTTAATTTTGACTGAAGAGAACATGTGCATGGCCTGTGTCATGTTGAATGAGCGAGTTCTTGGTAGAAGGGTTCACCTTTGAAGTAAACACCATTCATGAGCATTAAGACCACGTCATGTGGGATGCTCTCCAAGAAGTTGGGGATGTGCCCATTGGTGACGTTCTCCACCCATTGGTTGACCTCGTCCACAGAGACCAGGGGGAAAGGCCGAGAACGGTACCTGAACAGTAAAACAGTCACAACAAGTTTTGGAAGAAAAAAAAAACATTAAACAAGTTTTTTTTTTTTTTACTGTTAAGAACATTTTATGATAACCTGACAACAGCCAGATGCATGTCTCGCTCCACCTAGCTCCACTCACATACATCTGGAACACCGCTCATTGAAAGTGATTTCCCCAACCAAATTTATGGTCTGGCCAATCAGGATGCACGGCGGGTGTGTCCTGGAGTGGAGAAGCGACCGTGAGATTCCAACAACAATGGCGGCTCGCATCGAGGAAGCAAGCGTTAGCATTGATGCTGCTATTTCTTCTGTGTTGTCCAATCTATCTGATATTGTTTCATTAAAAGAACATCAGAGAACGGCTTTGAAGGCTTTTGTTGGTGGAAACGATGTTTTCGGCCTTCTCCCGACCGGATTTGGCAAGAGCTTGATCTACCAAATGGCTCCTCCTCTCACAGCGTCATGGGTTAGCTTCGGTGTGAGTGGTTGAAATAGCACGTCGATAAAGATGACAGACAAGTGGCTTATCCAATCATATGCAAGGAGTTTTGATAAGGCCCAGCCTTCAGTAAAGGCAATTCCTATGGCGGTGTTCCAGATGTATGTGAGTGGAGCTAGGCGGAGCGAGACATGCATCTGGCTGTTGTCAGGTTAATTTCATGACAGATCTGGAAGAAAACAGAGCTCTTCCTTGGTGAGGACTGACATAAAACATAAAGCTTCCCCATGAATCAAAGCAGAAGTTACGATAGCTGCATTTCCCTCAGCCAGCCAATTGCACCAATTGTAATTCTGAAAATAAGTTTGCTTAATGTAAAAAAACATTTTTGAAAAAACACATATTGTTTGATAAAATTATTTGCTCTAGGGTGAGGTGTTTTTTGGTGTATTTAACAAAATTGCAATGGAAACACTATTCCACATTGCTTGAGTCATTAAGTACATGACATCACTACTAGCCAAAAAGACAAAGGAGATGGCAGGAAGTAGTAGGAGGTTGTTGACTCAGCATTTTTTTTTTCTATTATCACTTAAACCAATTTATTTACGTGTAATTTTAATAGCAGTTTTGATAGAGTTGATCAAGAAAGCTTGATGCATAAAAGCTTGAAAATTAACCTATAGAGGAATAGCGCATTTTATTTTCCTCCTGCATGATCATTAAGGTTTCCAGGTTGGTTTCCAGAATACAGCCAATACCTTGCAAGAGATTCCTCAACAAAAGACAACTTCACTTCAAATCCTGCCGTGAGGAGGAGAAAAAACAAAACACAGGAATAAGAATCTGTGATTCCTCTGCTGATGCATCAAACAAACACATGATTTCCCACCTGGCCTCAGGTACATGCGTGCTGCCACCTCCAGTGAATTCTGGGTTAAATGAGCCATGAGGCTCCCCAGGACATGATGGAAGCATGGGAGCTTTTGGGCATGGAGGCTTTGAAGGAGAAGCTTCTCTGTCTCTTTGCGGGAACCTTAAAAGAGCCATGTAGGTAAAAGGAACATGTTAGCATACAAGCAATAATCTGCAGCATTTTCATTCAGTTTAAATCTGAATCGAACTGGAAAGTGATGAACCTAAGGTGAGGTGAGCGAGGGCGAAAGCCAGGCTGAGAGGGGAAAGGATGACGTTGGGCTGCTGCGGGCTGGTTGGTAGGTTCTCTAGGATCTTCAACCCCAGCTGCTCTATAGCGCCCCCTATCAGCCTGTGTTCCTCGTGGCTGAACGCTCTTCCACAGTTACCATCATTCCTCTCCTCTTCCTCCTCTGTGAGAACAGAGACTCCAGGAGCTGCTGCGGTCGGCTCTTCCTGAACATAAAATCACAGACAACGTTAGTGCAAAGAAACCTCAGATGCTAATGAAAGAACCGTGACAGGATGAAGCTTCCTTACTGTCAGACCTAGGTGACTGAGACACAGCAACAGCAGACACAGCTTCATTTTCAGAGGGACACCTGATGAGAGACACAAACCTTCAATGAACATCGATCACAGCAGGTGGGAGTGGATCTTTGAAATGAACTTCTTCATAGAAGAGCTTTAGTATTCTGAAATTAATTTAATCCAGCTCATCATAATTTCCTGCTGCCAACAGAGTGACGTAAAGGGTTAATTTCTTTTTCAGGCTTTGTGTGGCACTAGTGGCTTTTATTTAGCAGCAGAAAGGCAGGAAATTGGTTGGACAGAGAGAGGGAGACTTTTAGGACTAATGCCATGATATCTGGGTCAGTTGCCCCACAAATTCCTTGTTTCTATAATTTTTACAGCTTCCAGTTTATCAAATCCCCAAATTCTGTGTCCCCTTAAGAATTAGAACCAAAACAATAAGAAACATCTTAAACACATTTAAACAGAAAAAGTCTGCGTTTCACTGTCGAGAGGATGTCTTCAACAGGGGGTCCACGACCCCTAGTGGGGCCACAGAGGTACTGCATTGGGGTCGCGAAGGTTTGGGTTGATTAGACTTTTTTTTATATTCCCCCCTGCAATTTTCCCCACTAATTGAAATGTCTTTAAATCCACATTAACATGAATTTAACACACAATGTAGTAAACAGATAAATGGAGGCAGAAAAAGTCAGTCATCAATGCACACATTCATCGACACACAAAAGTTCTTTCAAGCTGGGAACCGTTTTATTCACAACACCTGTCCCATCAATTAGAAATCAGAATCAGAAATACTCCAATAAGGCTAGGGCAAAATTACTTTTGTTACATTACTCCATATGTAATAGAGTGACTATAGGACCAGTTTGATATAACACAATTTCATACAATGTGTATAATTAGGGGGTCCACGCTCCATCTGGCCATCAGTTTGGGGGTCCATGGCCTGGAAAACATTGAAGACCTCTGCTGTAGTGACTGGGCTGAAATCCAGTGACCTGTTCTGTCTTGGCTTACTTTAACTAGGCCCATCCAGTATATGTTACCGGCTGAAAATTATGTGATAACGAGCGCTGATCATTGATGATTTCACAGTCGATCCTCCAACTAGCTTGGTTGCTATGACACAGTCTTCGTTCTGGAAGTCAACTCATCCCTAAAAGGAATCAACCAAGACCTAACTTCTCAGAGTCATAATGCAGGCTGGCTGATCTAGCCTAGATGAATAATGCTTTAGTGCTCCTATTAAGGAGCATTGTGACAGGAGTAGCTCATGTCCTGGATCTGTTTGTGTCCGGAGGCTCTAGCAGCTCTGACTTCAGCTGAAGACCTCATTAATCTCCTGAAGGTGCTTTGCTTTACTCAAAGCTCCAGTTATCCATGTTGACTGTGAACTTTTTTCTGCGGCAGTTTTTTTTTCTTTCACTACACTTTCTTTCACATGCCAGGCTGCAACATTAAGTGTGCAATTAGCTTTGTTGCTTTTTAAGTCCTCCTGCATCTCTGCTCTGAAACTCTACACACTTCTTGTTATATTTTGGGTTTTAATGCAACCAGCATGTTTCCAAACAACCTGTTTTGCATCAAAGTGTTTATGGTAGTGTCCAGCAGCATTCAGATCCACTGACAGAGTAAAAGTCCACTTTGTCTTGATGAATCTGTCCAGGTTAGAACCAGTGGTTAGTTGAGATGTGGCTGCCTTGTTTACCAGGAGACTAAAGGTTACTGTTTCTGAACCTTTTTGGCTGAACTGCAATTTGCTGAATAAACACAACTCAGAACAACACTGAATTGAGCACAAATACACAAACACATTATATTAGTTAAGATTCGGTTTAAAAGACATGATGTTCCTCAAAGATCTGCGGATGTTCCTCTGTGACTGAATGAATAACTGTCCCACAGAAATCATTAGAACCAGACTTTAAAAAGATGAAAACTTTCCCCCCTAACAACAAAACAGACAACGCTCCAGTGAAATAGGAGCTGATCCATACTCACCCTGACTTTGTTTGAGAAGAGGAGATGAAAAGCAGAGAATAATTAAAGTAAATCCAGATGTGGTGAAACTTCTGCAGGCTGTTCAGTGCAGTGCGTGGACCCAACATCTGCCACCCCCATGATAGTGGGTTAATGATCTACCCTGAATGGATTTAAGCTGAAAGCCTGTGCTCACTTCTATACGCTAAAATCAAATGACAAATGTTTAAATAAAAAGGAAGTTTACCAAGATTCAAATGATTTAGAAAACAAAAATCAGACCAAACTTGATCCACTCAATCCACTATTTAGTTTTAACTAAATACTTCAATGAGGCAGATCTTAAACACATTAGTCAGAATAAAACTTTTAACTGCCTTGGTTTGATAACTTCAGCTGTTTGTAACCCTGATGCATCCATTTACCACTAATTAATGTTACAGAAAACCAGTCAACTGAAAAATTAAACAAAAAAAACTTAGACCTAAGCAAAGTGCACTACATTCAAAAAACATTGTTCTAAAGCAAATCGTACAAAACAAATATGCAATAACAAAACAAAAAATAATTTTTTTTAAGTTCAGCACAAACCTGAGCAATTAGGGCTTGAATTATGGAAAGTTCGATTCAACAAATCAGTGTCCCAGTTATAATTCAGGAGCTATTTTGATGTTGCTTAGCAACCAGCTTGGCAGTTTGAGATTATTGTTTTTCTGCATTTTTTTGGTCAAATGATATCATTTAATATTTTCAGTGACTAAGGTTGTATGGTAAATTATGTGTGATTAGGTAATGTTTTTACTCCTTAGAGTAATAGGCAGTGTATGTTTAGCAAAGAAATTGTTTTGAAGTGACGCCAACTGATTATGCTGATAAACATCAGAGGCTGTTTTACAAACTCATACCCCAAAATATAGGTACTGCCAGTTATATAGGTAGATGCAGGATTTAAATAGCCTCCCCATAAAGGGAGAGTTAATTTAAATGCATAGCTAATAGTGCTAAGAGCATGTTAGCAGGGCTGTAAAATCTCACCCATTGAGAGTGAGACTCACCCATCTCAATATCTTCACACACTCTCACTTCATGTTCCCAATTTCTCATACTAAAAATTGTCATGATTTTATCCACAAATCTGACCCACATGCAGAAAACCAAACAGAGAGACCAGGGAAAGGTTTAACAGGTTTATTATGAGCTGAAGGGAAGAGTCCAGTGCTGTCCTTCTTTTTATCCAGTCGGTGTGGCTTGTTCCAGTAATAGACTTGCTCGTTGGAGAGTCGGACAGGGTTTACCCAGGCTGAGGTTGACTGCCACTTAGATCTCCTATGCTACTTGAATGGTTTCTTGTGGTAATGAATCCCTTGCTCAGTGTGAAGCCCAAACAATCATTGGGGAAAAGTTGATCCAAACCACCTGTTTGAATCCTGAGCTCAGTTTGACGCTCAGACAATCCTTCCAGGGGGGGAAGGTCCAAAAAATCCAGTTTGCAGGATGACTTCCTGCCACGAGGCAAAGAAAAAAACAACAAGGTTAAGACTCAGGTGACAAAAAACTCAGTTTGACTCAACAAAACTCAGTTTGGCTAGAGTACCCAAAACTGGCAAACACTCTGGCATCGAGGTAGTGGCAGTCAGCAGCTGAAGAGTCCTCCGGTAATGAGGCAACCATCCGCAGGTGTGTGAGAAGGCCAACAAGAACCAGACACCACCTGGTGGTGGAGGGAAAACAAAACAAAAACACAACCCACACAAACTGGATTCCTAACAAAAATGACGGACATTAAATCTCCGTTGCACTTATTTATGTATAAAATACCATGTTGATCAAAACCCAGTCCTCGTTTTTAACACAACCTTAGTGCTAACACACAAGGTCATGCCAGGTTCATATCCAGTCCTTATTCCCAACTCTTCACTGTGCTAGATATTGAAAAAAGACAGTTGTTATGAGGTATGTCGTTTTAATCTTTCTCTTATCTCATCTGGACTAGGATAATTCTCTTTATAAATTAAAATAAATGTTTTTAAGCAATCTAGTGCTTGAGTTCAGGTTTGCCTCTCGAACCCATAGAGGCTCCACAAAAAAAAAAAGAACCATTGCATTTATTTTTCAAAAGATCAGCCGACAAAGAAAAGGCCAACCACATCCAGAGAGGAGGTGCAGAAAAACTCAGTTATCCAGGATTCATAATGGGATGTTCTCATTTTATTACTCATCTTATTAATTTATCCTTATTTTGGTCCATTGAATATGTTAACTTAATTTTCATCAAATTTTCCAAATGAAACATTCAGAGAAATGCTGTCTCCTGTCTTGGTGAGTTTCCATAAAATCTAAAAGCCTCTTATAAGGTCTGAATTGTTTAGCTGTCAATTGTAAGAAAAACTAATAACACAATAAATGAAGCTTTTTAATCCTCAGCCTATTACCAAATATTCATACACAGTGTAGTTTGCATAAGTTTTGATTGCACTGGTTCCAGTATCAGTGCCAGTAATCCAGTGATAACTTATTAGTTTCCCATTGTTTAATTTACTTTAACTGCAGAGAATAATTAATAAACAAAGTTGTGAAATTCTTAGGTCACAGTATATTTAAGATGCAAGTATTTCAGTAGGGTCAATTCTTCTTTACTTCAACTGAATCAGCGGAATATAGAAAATAATATATATTGTGAAAAAAATTTTCCAATTAACTACAGATCACTTATTGTTACTCAGTTACAATTACTGTGCTATAAAAATCCCACATTCTGAAACTTGGTTTCAGTTAAATCCTCTGAAAACCTCCAACCTAGAGCTGCACCTATCCTCAGAGCATTTTGATCGAATCCTCACAGGGTTTCCTGTCTAAACTATTTCCAAATCTCACCCCAAGGTTTGGTGAAAAGTTGGCAGCCCTGCTGTTAGGTGCACTAAAGCAACAGCAAATAGCAGGCTAAGTTAACCGGGCTGGATTAACCAGGCTAGGTTAACCGGGCTAAGCTAAGCTAACCGTGTCAAGTAAGCTAAAGAAAAACCGTAAGGCTATAAAATCACTAGAAATGCTAAACTTAATAGAAGGAACCTCATAAAAGCCAACCACGATAGACAGTTTAACTAATCTAAGAATTAAAGTTGCCTATGGCATGTAATCATTTTGTAAAGTTCTATGTGGCTAAGTAATTAGCTCATACAGGTAACTTTAAAAACAGACAGATAATGAGAATTAAAACTTCAATTTGCCTCCAAGAAAAAATTTGGACTCAACTTGAATTCAACTTTGAAATATTTGATGGTTTCTTTTTGTTTTGTTTTGTTTTGTTTTTTTCTTTATGGTATCTCCACCTGACCTGGTTTTGTTTAGCTATGACAGTGGAGCCTCAAGTTCTCCTATGATGATGCACATGCTTAGTGTCTCTCAGTGTTTAAACCTGTCTCTACTTTAGACAGAGCTGGAACTAACTAAATCTATTATGTTTTATCTACACTGGTTTAGAGCTGTTTATAACCTACTTTTCTCTTACATAGAAAGTATTTCTGGATCAGAACTTCTGTGTCTATTGTATGTCTGCTGTCCCAAAGGCTGTCCAGTCAATCTGTTAATGAACAATCACATCAAAGCTTATTTTTCCACTAATAAACATCATTCCAATAGTTATAAAACTCATTGTGTTGTTTTATATACATCTAAATGTTAAAGAACATTAACCACAGATCTGGATCAAAGTCTGACAACTAAGCAAAGCAACAGAAATTAAAAAAAAGGAAAGAACAAACATAATCAAAAGCTTCTCCTTATCTTCTTTTTATATGCAGCTAAAGATAGTAATGGAAGATTTCAAGTTAGTCGTTTTTGTAACATATAAAGTCTCTAAAAAATTTCCACTTGCAAAGAATAATGAACACAGCAGAAGGAGAGCCTTCCTGGGTTAGTCTGTAAACATGACCTTATTCTATCTCAGTTATGCTATGTTGGGGCACCATTGTGCTTTTCACATACATCCAGAGCAGAGAGAGTGGGTGGATGTTTGTCTTGTTCTGAGCGCCATATTCCAACTTTACACCCCCACACAGTAGCTCTGTGACAAACAGTGTTCCCCTTCTGCCTGAAGAACCTCAAACTAGTGCAGAGGAAAAGAACCTCTGAAGAAAGAAAGACACTAGAGGAGTTTATTCAGCTGCTAACATGACTACTCATCTTCTGGAGGAAATCATGAAGTGGAAACATGTAAATGATTAAATTTAACAACAATGATAAACCAAGCAGAGCTTATTTAGCAAGGTCTTTAGATATAAGTTCTTCTAAACAGGGAGTAGAAATAAATCTGAAAAACAGAGAAAGATGAACATCACCATGAAAACTTCTAATTAAAAACATGGTGGATAGAGAAAAAGTTTGACGCTTAAAAAAAAAAAAAGTTATGCAACATAAAGAAAAGGATACAGTTGAAAAGGATACTAATTGGACCTGAGACCGTTATTTTCCTTGGTCAGAGATGACAGAGGGGATTTTAACCAGGTTGGTTCCAAAGTCCATGTTCTGATCTCAGCCTGGAGAACATTTGTGGGCAGAGCTGAAAAGTTCAGGGGGATCAAAACAGCCTACAAACCTGAGCCGGTTCCATTGCTTCTGTAAGGAGGAATTGGCCAAAATTAAAGCAAACTGTTGTTAGAAGCTTGTGGAAGGAAGTCCAGAACAGTAATACAGTATAAAACCTCCACCAGGTTCTGGCACCACAGCTGGTTCTTTTTCTATTAGGGAAGTTCCTTCTTCAGCGTATGTGCAGATATATGGCTGTAAAAAGTTAAGCTTTGAAAACTTTCTGCCTGATCTATTTTTGATTTTGCTGCTTTACATTTTTATTATATGTAACATTTCAGACTGAAAAATAAAGCAGCAGTACTGGTTTGTGACCACTGGGTGGCAGCACAGGATAGACTCTTCGTTCACCAGATCTCCTGAAGTAATGTTAAAATCCTTGCTTCTCCCTAAAAGTTTCAGTTAACAGCTAAGAAGCCATAAAATGAAATAAATCTGGAATATTTAAAACCCAGATGGTCATTTAGATGTTCATCTGCAGCATGCAGACGGGGTGTCTCTACTTCAGTATTTTGCTTTCATAGAAAGGAAAATAGATCCTTCAGTTTACTCTTATTTCTTCTGTGCCATATAGATTT